CTGCCTTCAAAGTAGTTGCCTATACCCTCAAACTTGTTACTATCAAACCGAACAGAACAGAGTAAAAGCAGTCAAAACAAGATGGTGGGAGCAATATAGGACTTCAAATCAAGTTAATAGGAAATCAAAAAAGTTACTATAATATACCCTGCTAATTTTTTTGATTTTTCCCTTAATAAAAAAAAATAACACAAATAAATAAATAATTTTTTAATAAAAAGGGGGAGATTGAAATAAAAGAGCACATAACAACATAACAATACAGTCAAAGCATAACAATTTCAACAACTAGTGCTTCACCACAACATAACCTGACTTAATAGTAGTTATCATAGTGTCTCTTTCCTTGAAATATTTGCGTATAACTCTGTATACTATGGCTTCAAACTTATCGAGGCAGTGTGAAACCATTCAAGGGATGAAAGTATCACAGGGTATTTAGAACCAGCTAACAGAAAATGAACAATGGTTTCTGTTTTATCTCTTGGCCTATAAAAATTTGGTTTGTACACATATAATATCACATATAATAAAATCCAGGAAGATACAACATGATAGAACCAATGGAGACAGAATAACAGCAGTTTGGTGGGACTTCAAAACAAGATGATATTAAATCACCACTAACTCTTATGGTGCCTCGTTTTCATCAAAATAGCTGTTTGTATCATCACAGACAATAATATCAAACATCCCAGAATAAAGCCAATCCAAAAATGGGCATCTGAGATAAATACACACTTCGCAGATAAAGAAATACAAATGGCGAATAAATACATGAAAAAATGTTGAGCATCATTAGTCATTAGAGAAATGCTAATTAAAACCACACTGAGATTCCATCTCACTCCTGAAAGAGTGGAAAGGAACAAGAAAACCATCAACAACAAATGCTGGAGAGGCTGTGGGGAAAAGGGCACTCTCCTGCACTGTTGGTGGGAGCGTAGACTGGTGCAGCCATTGTGGAGGTCAGTCTGGAGATTTGTCAAAAAGCTGGAAGTCCCAACTGTTCCAGCTATCTCACTTCTAGGCATATTCCCAGAAAAGCATCATACCACAGTGATATATGTGTACCCGTGTTGATAGCAGCACAATTTGTAATTGCCAGATCTTGGAAACAACCTAAGTGTCCATAAACTGACGAATGGATAAAAAGTTGTGGTATTTTTATACAATGGAATACTACTCAGTTATAAACAAGGATCACATTGAGATATTTATAAATAAATGGACGCAGCTTGAGACCATAATCATAAGTGAAATGAATCAAATTCACATATATGAATACCGAATAGTTTCCCTATTGTAAGAAGTGATTCAAATATGTAAAAGTGTGTGGTAATCATGATTCCCCATTATGTGGCTTTGAAGCCTTATAAAGTTTTCACTCATTAATTGGAATTCTTTTCAATGCCACTGTTCTGAGTATTTTTAAACCAGTACAATTAGCGAACCAGAAACTCCAGTATTGGGCATATAATCATTAAAAGCAAATTCAGAATGATGCAGATGTATTTGTACTCCTAAATTCACTCCACCACAACTGACAATAACCAAGAACAAGAATCAAGACAAGGGTCCAAAAACAGATGAATTAGATAATGGAATACCATCCAGCCTTCAAAAAGAATAAAATATTGTCACTGGGCAAAACATGGGTGGAACCAGACATTGATATATTAAGGGAAATTAGCCAAGCACACAAGCACAAGTACCCATGACCTCACTACTATGCCATTCCGGGGGGGGGGGAACCGTGACCCCATACAGGAAGAGAGCAGAATGATGACTGGAAGAGGCCAGGGGAATAGGGATGAGAAAAAGTTGATCAAAGGATATTACATTACAGTTAGCAGCAACAAGTGCTGGTGTGCTACTGCACACTAGGGTAACTACGGGAAGTATTTGCATACAGTATATTTCAAAAACATACAAGAAAGGATTTTGAATGTACTCAATAAGAGGACATGCAAAGTGTTTGAGGAGATAAGTGTTCAATTGATTTGAAGGTCATTTAGTATCTGGACCCTTACATGGCACTCCATTAAAGTACACTTTTATGCTTTTATAAATCAGTTGAAAACAGAAAACAGAAATATAAGCATTACACTGTAATCAAAACATCACACGATATCCTACAAACATGTATACCATTTCTGTTTTAACGCATCAGTTAAAAACAAACTGACTTTATAAATAATGTAACCAGTTTGCAAAACTAGAACTATTTAGAGGTAATACTGTACTAAGAATACTTTCTTGTTGTTGTTGTTTCTGGGTTTTGTTTGTTTTGCTTTGTTCTTGAGACAGGATCTCACTGTACAGTTCAGGCTGACCTTGAAATCACTGTGCAGCCTGGGCCGGCCTCAAACTCACAGTGATCCTCCTGCCTCAATCTCCTGAACGCTGGGATTACAGTCATGTACCGCCATACCCGGCTCTGTACTAGAAAAACTTTAACTATTTTCCCATAGTATTTTGTATAGACAAACAAGACCTCCATGACTCACTACCCTGGATCCTTGGGCAAGTCACCATGTTCCTCAGTGTGCTCATCTACAAAATAAGGAAAAATAGTTGCCTTATCATGAAAGACTCTTGTGAGGATCCAGTGGGTTACTATAGGGAAATAGTGCGGTATAAGGCATTTGTAATAGTACCTAGGACCCAGGAAGCACAAAATAAATTCTCATGGTAGAGTCCAGAGGAACCACCACAAAAGTTGATGCACCGACAACCTTTGTATCTGCTGAGGAATGAGCTACTCAGAAGGATGGTTGGAACTCCTGACACAAACTGGAAATCAAGAAAGTCTGTCAGGCTGCTCTCACATCATTTGAAGAGGATTCAGACTCAAATCTGGAAATCTTGACCAGCAGCACTCTGGACTCAAACCCTGAGTTTGTTCTAAAGCATTAACCTTTGTGTCTCTAGTTCCCATACAAGTGCCTCTTGTCAAGTACCTGGTGGATCAGTGTACACAGAGGCCTGACTGCAGCCGAAGGCCACCTGCAATAACACTTCCTTCAAACAGAGGCACTGTTGACTGTTTAATTGGAGTGACCTTGATGTCAGGAGGAACTGACATCAAAGGACAGCTCACCTGTTAAGTTTATGGACTGTGAAACTTCTTAGAGAGGTTTCAGACAGGATGACCAATAGGACTGAGGACATTTTACCCCAGAAGTTGCTTGTTTGGGAGATGTTGGGTAGGTGAGGCCTGTCACTCACAAGGAGATGGAGAGAGGATGCCTGCACTAGAAGAACATGGGCTTTGCAGTCAGAGAGCTGACTCAGATCTAAATTTCGCATTTTCTGTTTGCTAGCCCGGCGGCATTTTCTGGTTCATAGGCTGGCTGTGTGTGTGCCTCAGTTTCCTGGTTTGTAAAATCAGGACGCTGACATCTACCTCCCAGAGGTTCTGTGAAAGGGCAAACAAGCCCAGGTCAGTGACCTTGCCCCATTGAGACCCACAAAGCTGCATAAGAGGCAGCATGGGAAGCAGATGCTCCCAGCCTGTCTCCGAGACCTGCAGATGGGTAGTGGAGGCCGACACAAGGGCAGCATCTGCCCACTGTCCATTTCCGTTTTCTGGCCCCTCAGGATGGAGGTTTCCACTTGTTGCCCGTCACGGACTCAGCTGGAGACCTCTTTCATGAGGCCTAAGGGGTCATGCTGGGCAAGTGGGACATAAAAAGTATCCAGAAGCAGGCTGGAAGAGCTCAGGTGAAAGGGCAGAGCTGAGGAGCATTGTGCAAGAGACTGGGCTACTGAGAGCAGATGATCGAGTGGGCTTGCTGCACTGCAGGGTATGAGTGTGCTAGCTGGCTCTTTGAAAAGCAGGGCTGAAGGAAATATGGCGGGAAGAGCAGCACTCCCCCCTCCAGCCCCTATGGTCGCCACAGCCCACCCACCCGCGAATCGCATGCGCACTGGGGACTAGGAGGAAAGGGCTTTTGTTGAGAAAGCGGGCCCTCTGGAGGGGTCCACGCATGCGCGGGCTCCCCAGCCGCGGGGGAAGCGGGCTGGCGGAGAAAAGGGGCGGGGTGGTCCGAGCTGCTGTGCTGGCAGCAAGCAGTAGGCGAGGGCGCGGCTGCTGGGTTCCTGGTGCTGAGCACGGACGCCATTGGAGCACCGGGGAAGGTAAGGATCCAGCCCAGACAGGACCTGGCGAGGACTAGTGCAAGCCGACGCGCTGCGCCCTCTCCCTGCCCTCTAGATCTGAACAAAGCCCTAACACTCAGAGCGGGAACCTGATTAGACCCAACGTCTAAATAGGACCCTCACTACCATGACCATCAGACCCAAGCGCCCCGATCCGAGCCTACTTGTGTGGGAGCCTGCAATCCCAACCCTTGTGACAGACCCCGAGCTGAGCTTCCTTAGACGCGAGGCCCCACCCCCACCGCCTCCACTCCTAGATTACTCCAACTGAGCTGAACACTTGCGCCTTCCTGGAGTCCCAGGCCTTGGACCTTGAGCGGTCCCGCGATCCAGTTCAAGCCCTGCCTAGGTCCAAGGCTCCCATCCTCTGAGCTCAACCTATACCCACAGTCAGGTGAACGCTCCCTCCCCTGACCCAGCCCCCGCCCCCCTTCCTGCACCTCCTTTTCCTAGAGCTTTCTGCTGTCCCTGTTGTCTGAGCCCTCCTATTTGCTGCCCTCTTCACCAGTCCCTGCCACCCATCCACCCCGTGATCATGGTCCCCTGCTCTGGCCCTTGAGTTCAAGCCCTTTGTTTCTCCAGGTTTCAGTGCATCTCCACTGGGACTCTTGGGACCTGAACCCTCAGATACAGCCTTTATTCAAACCTAGTCACCAGAGTGGGGGAACCTGCCCATCCTAAGCTCCCCTTACAGTGGCGGGGGTTCGGGGGGTCGCTCTGAGATTTCCTCCATCCTTCTGGAGGCCACTGGTCTGCCCCTATACACCCTGCAACCCTCACTGCTGTTGTGTAGTACTGCCTATAACCTGACAATGCTGCCCCTCATGTCTCCACAGATACAGCCTGCTACTGGTTCCTGCCCCCCTCTCCCTGAGACAGAGCTCTCAGCTCCTTGGGAGCCGCAGCATGGCTGAGGGAACCTACAGTGTGCAATCTGGAAACTCCAATGTCGAAGATATGGATGAGGGGAGCCACCAAGTTAGGGAGGAAGAGATGGTTGGAGGCAACGACTATGAAGAGTTTGGTGCTTTTGGTGGTTATGGCACACTCACCAGCTTTGACATCCATCTGCTGAGAGCCTTTGGCACCTTGGGTTCCGGCTTTCACATCTTAGCGGTGAGGCTCCTTCTTGGCCACCTGCTCCATCTGGGCCTTATCCTCTGTGTCTGTGCAGGGAGGGAGGAGGGACCTGAGTGGGGAAGGCATGCCGGCTTTCCCGAACCTTCCCTGGCTTTCTGAAGGAGGGATTTCTGGAAGTCCTTGGGGTGGCCAGTGCTGCCTGGTGGGAGGAAACAGGCGAAGCACCATGACAGTGTGTAGAGTTGTCTGTCCTCCTCTCCCCTGCCCTCTGGCCTGACAGAATGAGCCCTGGGAACTGGAAAATCCTGTGCTGGCTCAGACCCTGGTGGAGGCATTGCAGCTGGATCCAGAAACCCTTGCCAATGAGACTGAGGCCCGTGCCGCCAATGTGGCCCGCTCTGCCGCCTCCAACCGAGCTGCTCGGGCCGCTGCCACTGCTGCCCGTAGGTCCTTCACTCAGGTGGTGGCTAACCACCTGGTGCCCACACAACTGGCCACAGGAGACAGTGCCCAGCCTATGACATATTCTGAGGCTCAGGGGCCCACCCCTGAGGCAATCCTGGCCTCACCACCGAAGTCCCAGATGTCTCAGATGTCAGTCATCAGTGAGATGGCTGCTCCTGGGGCTCCAACAATCTCCACACAGTCCCAGACGGCCTCCCTGGACCATCAGGCTGCTGCCGAGGGCCCTGGTACTGCCCGTGCTGAGATTCCTAGTACTGCCTGTGTATTCTCTCAGGCTCCAAGTGCCAGTGAGACGGATGCCACCTGGCCCCAGGCAGCCTTCCTGGGCCAGAAGGATGTCTTTGATTTCACTCAGCCAGCGGGTGTCAGTGGCATGGCCTTCACGCGCCCCAAGAGACCTGCCCCATCCCAAGAGGCCGCCACAGAGGACCCTAGCACTGCCTCTGGTGTGCCTCAGGCGGCATCTGCCAAGGAAGTGGCAGCCACACGACCCAAGACCACCAAGTCTGGGAAGGCTGTGGCCAAGACTCGGTGGGTGGAGCCTCAGAATGTTGCAGCCACAGCTGCTACCAACACCAAGATGGCCACAAGCACCCCTGAGCCCGAGGGGGCAGCTGCAACTGCTCAGCAGAGTGGTGAGCCCTGGGCCAGGATGGGAGGCAAAAGGACAAAGAAGGTGAGCACCCCGCCACCTAAACAGCCCCTGGCTCCCCTCCTTTCCTGCTGCTCTCCCTGCTCCTTTCTCCTCTGCCCGCCTCTCCTCCCCAGCCTGTCCCTCCTGTCCTGTCAGCTTGTCCATGTTTCTCCAGCACATGTTTGTTGAGCATGTTTTGACTCCACGTAGTTCCTGCTCTCAGCGCTGGTGGGAGAAGAGGTTGGCTCGGAGCCTGGCACTTAGCAAGCTCTCGGCAAGTGCCAGCCACTGCTCATACTACTTTCGCTGCCAAGTGCCTGCTGTGGGGCAAGGTGTGTGGTGCGTGCTTCTGCACGGGGAGTCCGGAAGCCCTGGGTTGCTCCTCTCTCTGATGATGTATTACAGTCCAAACACCTGGATGACGAATGTGAGAGCAGCGAGGAGGAGAGAGAGCCTCCTCCAGTCCCGGCAACCTGGAGAGCATCGCAGACCCCAGTGACAGCGCGGGCTCAGGTGGGCCCTCGGCCCATCATGGCCCCAAGGCCCCAGACACCCTCGAGGCACATACTGTGCTTGCCCCCCCGCAACGTGACCCTGCTGCAAGAGAGGGTAAGTAGTCTGCTTTCCCCATCTGCCTCCTTTCTTCCCCCCGTGGTCCAGCGCTCACTCTGAGGTCTCCCGGGCCTTGATCTGCCCACACATTCCTCCTTCTCCAGGCAAATAAGTTGGTGAAATACCTCATGATCAAGGACTACAAGAAGATCCCCATCAAGCGCTCGGGTAAGCACCCATGATCCCCTGCTAGCCTGTTCTGCTAGCCTCACTTTGCGTATGTGCCCACACCCTCCAGGCAGGGTCCCGTTGCTCCATTTCTGCAGCACAGAGTGCTGGCCAGGTGCCTGCAGCACAACTGGCCTTGGGGCTGCAGCCCTCAAGCCCCTGCTCAGCCCGGGTCCCATCCCTGACCCTCCCCCTCCCACAGACATGGTGAAAGACGTCATCCGAGAATACGATGAACATTTCCCTGAGATCATTGAACGAGCCACATACACTCTGGAAAAAGTGAGTGGGGGGATGGGAGGAGTAGGGCAGCCTGCAGCCCTTCCAGGCTCAGTTCCTGCCCTGTGTGCTCTGGAAGCCTCCCGTGGTCCTCCACCTCTGAGCTTCCAGTTACCCGTGGCACTGTGACACATGCCCTTTTCCTGGTACCTCTCCGTGCTGCTCTCTGAGTGGGTCCCCTGCCGTGGGTCCCACTGCCTCTGCAGCCACCAGAGCCCCCACGGGGCAGCCTTTGCTGCCCTGTCTTCTCCTGCTCTTGTCCAGTGGTTTGGACTCCCAGATGAGGGAAGCATTCAGAGCAGAGCCTGACCGAAGGCACGATGCCTCCGGCACGGGGTTTGATCTCACTTCTCTTGCCTTGTAGAAGTTTGGGATCCACCTAAAGGAAATCGACAAGGAGGAACACTTATACATTCTCGTCTGCACGCAGGATTCTTCTGCTCGCCTCCTCGGGAAGTAAGGAAGGGAAAGAGGGCAGTGACCTCCTGGGTGATGCCCCATCCCCGCCCCCCAGCATCTTGCGGGGGGCGGGGAGTAGGACCACTGCGCTCAGGGGTCCACCAGGGCTCTTCCTCTCTGATCACTGCACCTAGTGACTGCTGGAGAAAAGAACTGGCATCCGGGGCAAAGCTGTGGTGCTGTGGGATTTTGCTGGCCTCCCTGAAGATTCAGTGGAATGCAGCTTGTCTCTGGCTACCACGTGCCTGGCTTGGGCTTGGCAAGGTAGACCTCTGGGGAGACTTTCCTGCAGTGTAGGGGAGGTGGCCTCTGACAGCATCCCTCTTTGTCCACCCTTAGGACCAAGGACACTCCCCGGCTGAGTCTGCTCTTGGTGATTCTGGGTGTCATTTTCATGAATGGCAACCGTGCCAGTGAGGGTGAGTATGGGCTCTGCAGCTGGGGATTGGCCCACGGTCCCATCTTTTCGTGCCAAACTCTTGTACCCCGTCTCCCCTCGCAGCTGTCCTCTGGGAGGCACTCCGCAAGATGGGACTTCGTCCTGGGTATGCACGGCTCCTCCCGGGATTGCGGTGGTCTGGGGTCTGGTGCCCTAGGCTCCATAGAGAGGAGAGGGTCTCACCGGGATGGGTAGGGGTATCCATGGCTAACTCTCAGCCCCTCTCGCCTCACTATTCCCAGAGGAGATCTCAGAGAGGCAAAGCAGAATGTGGTCCTCCATCAAGCCCTTCCCTCGGGTATCCTTGAACAACTGTCTTTTGGCCTCTGCTCCCTGGGGATGCCCCATGGACTGGAGAGCTCGAAATGGAGCTGGGGAGCATTCCTGCCCGCATACACCACTACCCTGTTCGGTAATCCTGGATTCCTTTGTTTGCCCTCAGGGTAAGGCACCCTTTCCTTGGTGACCTGAGGAAGCTCATCACAGATGACTTTGTGAAGCAAAAGTAAGTAGTAGTGACTGAGCTCACCTTGTCTCACTCTCGGTATTCCCGGGTGCCAGTCTAGTAAAGAAAACCATTCCCAGCCTCAAATTTTAAACTAGAGGCATGAGTGGGGTCAGGATGTGGGAGTGCTGAGGGAGTAGAATTCTGGGGTTGTCTTGGGGAAAGGGAGCAACCCCCAAACCACCAAGAACGTGGTATAGGGGAGTGGCGGTGAACCTATGGCACTGGTGCCGCAGCCAGCTGTTAGTTAACATTGAAAACTCTGAAAGGTTCATCATCACCGGTGTAGCCTATGATAGGAGCACCATCTACCCTGCGGCCCAGCACCATAGTTTCCCTTGTTTTGCACCCAAGCGGCCTAGGGCTCAGTGAGGTGGCGGTTTCCGAACCTAGTCCACAGCTGGCGGGCTGGCAGGGCCAGGAGCCCAGTTCTCTTGGTTTTCATCCCAAGGCCCAGTGTATATATACACTGTCACCCCCAGCAGCGGGGTGGGGGGTGGGGGGTGGGAGAGGGGAAGAGTGAGAGACAGAGATGGAGAAGGAGATAGAGGCAGAAACTGAGACGTTTTAGAGTGTGTGTGTGTGGCTACCCTTGACTGAATGTTTCTTGTTTTCTGTAGTGGATCTTGCCCAGGCTTAGCTAGCCCTCCTTGGGGACCTTTGCCGTGGGGTGTGCTCAGAGCAGGGGCCCTGAAGAATGGCTCCTCTGTTTACAACACACCCAACAGGAATCCAGGGCCATTGTGAAGAGGGCCACAACACTTGTGGCCTCCCTATGAGCAAATGCCCTACATGTGTCGCCTTTGCACCTAGACAGGGATTCTGAGGTCCTGGGAGTGAGGTTGTGCGTGAGCCCAGGGCTGGGGACCCAGATGGTCCTCTTCCAGGAGGTGGGCTCCAGCACTCTGCCTGAGGAGGAGCTGCCTCGAACACATCAGTTCAACCACAGGTCAGCTTGGCTAGCAGCAAAGGGTGATTCCCTGTCACACTCAGGTACCTGGAATACAAGAAGGTCCCCAACAGCAGCCCGCCAGAGTATGAGTTCCTCTGGGGCCTGCGAGCCTGTCACGAGACCAGCAAGATGAGAGTCCTGAGATTCATTGCCCAGGTACCGGAGAGGGCCTGTCAGGTGCCAGCAGCAGGGTGGCACTTGCCCTGATTTGTGTGTTTCTTGGTCACCAACTTTCCTCTCTGGAGGTTCTGAAAGGTTCTTGAGTTTCTTGGGCAGATTCCCAGAGGTCGCAGCGGGGGGAATGGGGCGTATTCCCAGCTCTAGCCCAGAACAATAGGAACCTGGGCTTTTCAGGCCAGGGCCCCACCTGTCCTTTGTCCATGGAGAACGTGGGAGCAGGCACACTGTTGGGCATAAGAGTGAGCATGGGAAGGGATGGCTAGCAGGAGGTGTTCCTTGAATGTGAAGTAACCCTGTCATTATGGCTGGCTGCTGTTCACCACCCTCAGAACCAGAACCGAGACCCCCGGGAATGGAAGGCTCATTTTCTGGAGGCTGTGGATGATGCTTTCAAGACGATGGACATGGATATGGCCGAGGAACATGCCAGGGCCCAAATGAGGGCCCGGATGAACATCGGAGACGAAGCTCTGATTGGACGGTGGAGCTGGGATGACATACAGGCCGAACTGCTGACCTGGGATGAAGACGGGGATTTTGGCGATGCCTGGGCCAGGATCCCCTTTGCTTTCTGGGCCAGGTACCATCAGTACATCCTGAATAGCAGCCGTGCCAACAGGAGAGCCACATGGAGAGCTGGCGTCAGCAGTGGTACCAATGGTGGGGCCAGCACCAGCATCCTAGATGGCCCCAGCACCAGTTCCACCATCCGTACCAGAAATGCCGCTAGAGCTGGTGCCAGCTTCTTCTCCTGGATCCAGTAAGATTGTCATGGGGACCTGAGACCCTCTGGGAGGGTGATAGATGAGCTGGGTGATGTCAGGGGGAGGCCTGTGGAGGGCTGTGGTAGGGCAAGAGTGAACCCGTGGAAACACACTTGTGTCACTGTTTGTCCCCCTCACTGGCTACTGTGGACTCTGATGTGTACCTGTTCCCTTTCGTTCCCTGTGATGCAGACAGCGCTGAGGAGCTGCTGTGGTTGTCCTCACCCAGCCAGACAGCCTCCTCAGAGGCCCTCTCACACAGCACTCCGGGCGCTTCTCCCTGTGGGTCACAGGGGCTGTGAAGATGGAGCTTCCTTTACTCTTCCTGCTTTCGCTGTGTGCTTTTCCTTGTGTGTTCATGGTTTTGGTATCAGTGTTACATTAAAGTTGCAAATCAATGTGGATGTCTCCTCCTTTTTGTACAAAGCGGGTCCTAGACATGGCCTGTGGCTGGGCTCTTTAGGATGCCAGCAATCAGCGGGCGGCACCTCTGCGGAAAAAGGCCCATGGGTCTGGGTGGGATGCTCGGAGTGTACATACTCCAGGTGGTGGAGAGGCCGTGAATGTAGGGGATTTCCCAGTGCATGTGGTTATGTGGATGTCCCACAGGGCAGCTCAGCAGCACCAGCTAGATGCCAAGAGGGGACGGGAGAAGGAATGGCACGGAGGACTGGAGGTTTATGCCATTCATTGTCTCCCTCCCTCTTGAGCAATAGGATCCACAGGCACCCACTGGCAGGGCTCACTCAACACCTCAACCCCCATCTTCATGGAGATGAGGTTCCAAAACCCTTGGTGCATCACCCACACCCCAAGACTGGGGCCGAGTCTTGAGGAAAATGAGGCAGGCTTTACAACGAAGGCCTTACCCTTGTGCTGCGCAGCAGGAGCAAGCGCTGCTGAGAGAAGAGCAGGTTTCCAGCACAAAGCTTTACACACACCTAGACAGCCCATTGCCAGCGAGGGAGTGGAAGGCTGTTTGGGGCTTTGAGGCTCCGTTTCCCTGGAACCAGGGCCATGCCGGGGATGCCGTGGCCAAGCCACAGCTTGGTGTCTTCCAGGGTTGGCTGATACCCAGAGAACATGGGGCACAGGAGGCTGCGGATCCTCCAGGTGAAAGGTGGTGAGGATGGACAGGTGGTTCTCCAGTGAAGGGCTCAGTAGCGGGCATGAAAGGCGTCCGGTAATGCCTCAGGTTCTCCAGTAATGTCCACAACTTGGCAAGAGAGACGACTGGATGACCGGGCGGGAGACAGTGGTGTCAGCGACCCGTGTCCCATGCCCCGTCCCTTCTGTGGCTCCTAAAAGAGTCTCCCATATCGGCTAGTCCCAATCCTGACACAGACTCTCCACAGAAATTGTGAGGCCTGGCTACCAATGAAAGCTCAGGTTTGATTGTCCCAAAGTGACTAAGGATTGTAAGAGCTCCACAGCCGAGCAGGAAACCCCTTCTAGTTTGGGATTGGATAGATTGCATATGCAGAACCTGACCACCCTGCTTTTCATATGGGCTTGTGGGGTTGGTCTCCACATCGGTGGCCTGTATAGGGATTTCACCTCTCTGGTGCTGAGTTCCAGGCTCAGCCACACTGACATTCTGGAAGTCTGACAAACCCTGAGTCCCAACCTTTCATTGGATCACAACACACAATACCCACATACACACTGTCACGCACTCAGACAGCCATGGAGTTCCCTTCCCTTCACCTGCACAGGCCTATGGATGGGACTGTGGGAGAGCGAAGGGCCGCCTGGGACCCCAGGAGGCCTGGTATGATGAGTTACACACAGTGTGACTGGGACCTCTCAGGACACTCCTGTGCGTATGGTAGGCACGTGCCTTCTCTAGGGTGGGGCAGGCTCTGGTCTGAGTTTTGAGTACTGCGTGCAGAGGTCACTGGAGACAGGCAGCTCATCCAGAAAGAAAGAGGCAGCAATGTAGCACTGGGAAGGACGCAATTTCCCAAGGCTGCGTGCTCCCAAGGGCATCATCCTTCTATCTCTGCTTCCCAGGGTAGGCTTCTCTAGGAGCCCGGTCTCCACCCTTGGCAGGGAGCAGTGAGAAGGTACACTGGGCAGGGAGGATGACAATGGCCTTGGGAAAGCAGCTGACCTCCTCACTCTCTGCATCAAAGGAAGGCCAAGTCAGGCCTCCCTCTACCCCAACCCTGACCTTTCACAGGCGCTCAACACAGAAGCCTTTGATTCCTGCTAGCCAGTGTTTTCTGAGACTCTCCTACGTGTCAAGTGTGTGACAGTGGTGTGCCTGCACACAGCCTTCTCCTCAGTGCAGGCCTACCTTGTCTCACCCCTACTTCACTTGCTCATGGACAACCAGTGGCCCCGTCACTAGTATGCAAGCAGTTTTGTTTTCTTTTGTTGGTATCAGGAATCAAATGCGTTGTGTGTTTTTTTTAAAGATGATAAAACCGAGCAAAACCCCCCAAGAAATCCAATCAAAATACAGCAGTGCAATTGATACAGAACTTTGAAGTAGTATAATAGGAAAACAACAATAGCTACCGTAGTATATCTTGTTATCTTGAAAATAGTTGCCCATCCCATCAGCTGTAGCAAAATCAAACCAAAACAAAACAGAATAAAACCAATCAAAACAGAACACTGAATAAAGCAAAGCAAGTAATCCCAACAAAATGAAACAGTGGGAACAATATTGGACCTCAAAAACGTGATAGAAGCAAATCCCCCATATTTGCTATACTCCATACTGCCATCCTCCTCTCAACAGCTACTCAGGCCACTGGCCCCATGCCTTCAAATTCAACCAAACAATGCAAGCATTCTGTTGCTTTTTGTACCTCAGTTGCTGTCAACTCAGCCTGTCCTCCAAACCAGCTGGTCGTTTATGGGGGCTGGGGGGTGGGAGTCGGTGATTCTCAGCCTGTTCGCAGGTAGGCCCATGGGAGGCTCTATCTGACTTTTCACTTCCTGGACCAGGCACAGCTTGCTTGGCTTACCAGAAAGGCCAGCTAGTTGTCTTGTTGGTCGGCTCCTCCAACAAGCTGGAACATGGCTGATTCTCCTAATTTGCAGTTTTTGATGATTATGTAGAAAGCTGTTCTGAATATTCATGCACTTCTTTCTGAGTGTGGCTTCCCTTTTGGGCAGCCCTGAGAGGAGTAGGTGACTGAGTCCACTGCCTGGAGGCGGGACCTGAGGTCCCCAAAGGGAAGGGACTGGCCTGAAGTCTCATGACCACAGTGACAGTGTGCGAACTCAAACCCAGGACCCTCTGAGAGCAGGATGTTTGCTCAGCCTCTTGCTGTGTATTGCGGCTCCTACGGAGGAGCTCACAGCATCTTTGGGACAACACCTCCTCCCACCCCCACCCTCCCCTGATATCCACTGTCCCACCCACCATCCTGAGCACACCACATCCCACTACTCCGCTCACAATGATGCTTTGGGTTCCTGTCAACCCTCATTAACCACATGAGTAAACAGACTCCCAGAAGAAAGTGACTTTCCTGAGGCCTCTGACCCACCTCTGCCAATGCCTCAGTTTGTGACCTTGGACCAGCGTCTTCTTTCGGCCTTTTGAATATCTAGTTTTCTTGCAAAGAAAGGTATATTCAAATGTACTACTTCCCCCACTGACTACTGGGTTGTCTTTCTGATAATGAAGGGAGTGTTGTTTCTACATCTTGCATCCTTGTCTCTTATTAGTTGAGTATGTGTATTGGAGAGATAGTCTCGTCATCTATGATTTGCCACTTCATTTTCCTTGTGATGAAGTGTAGGATTGCTGAACTTGATGAAATCCAGATAGCATTCCTTTGCGTGTGGCTATTGCTTTTGGTGTAAGACAAGTGAGTCCTTTGACTCCAACTTGTACATCAGCACATAAATCCCACGTTCATTACCAGAAGGTTTTAATTTTAGCTTTTGTACTTTACACTGAGGATCTGAATAAATTGAAGATGTTAGAAATTATAGCAAGTTATCACTTCTGATCACCATAGCATTAAGCTGGAGATACCAATCCCAGAAGAGTAAGCAGAAAATTAGCAAAAATGTGGAAATTAAGCCATATCCTTCTAATAGCCAATGGGTCAAAGAAAACAAAACCACAAGGGAACTTAGAAAATATCTGGAGAGAACCAGTGCCATGCGTGGGCTGCCACAGGTTGGGAGATAGCCAGACCCAAGCCTTTCCCTGTGAGTCAGCACCATTTTCAGACTGCAGGGGGAGAGAACAAGGATTCACCAGGGAGCAGGCCCTCCCTGCCAAGCAGCACCATGTGAGGGCTGCGGCCCACAGGAGGCATCCAGACCCTAGCCCCTCCCAGGGCCCAGGCTGGGAAACAAGAAGTACCTACCCTGCTCCCCAACCCCAGGTAAGCGACCAGCTGATCCAGAGAAATATGATAGCCCCTGAAGTGAAATGCAATTGGATACTTGTGATGTTTTGGTGCTTCACTGACCTTGCAGGTATAGGGCCAGTGGCCTGATCAACTGTTCAGAGGATAGCAGTACACAGTGTGGCATCTAAGGGGGATCTCTTTCTGAAGGTGGGAGCCATTGTTAATTCCTATTGTCTTGCTTTGAAGTCCTGTATCATTTTCTTTGTTTTGTTGGGTTGGATTCTACTCTCTTTTGCTTTGTTCTGTCCCGTGGCATGAGTAGCTGTTTCAAAGACAGCAAGATATATTATGGTAGCCATTTTGGATTTACTGTTGTCTTGTTTTGGTTCTTTTTTTCTTTATTTTTCTGACCCGGCCCACGGGTCAGTCTGGATCCACGGAGCAGTGTCCTGGAGAAGGAACGGGGATCAACACAGACAGGGCTGGAGACAGAGAGATGGAAACAAGTCGAGAGAATCCGATCAAGCCTCATTCATTGATAAAGTGGTTGCTGCTTTTATAGGGCAGGGGCGGGCCGGTGGGACAGGAAGAGGCTACAGGGTGATCTCTGCTGGGTCATCTTCACGTCCGTGTACATGATGTAAGCAGGAGAGGATTATGGTTAATGTAGGCAGGCGCATTATGTGCCCATATGAGGGAGAGGCCGGGAGACAGCAGTGGGGCGGTGGCACCGCTCCCTACATCTCCTCCCTTTCTATATTTTTTAATCAGGAGTATGGCAGGCCCTGTGAGGACAGCGCCTGTCTTAGGTCAAGGACCTCATTACATGAACCCAACCAGGGCTTATGCGTCATGGCCTTGCAGGACAGCAGTCGGACCTGTGCCTGTCTTAGTTGGTTGGTGTTGTGGCATGTATGTCCTAGTTGCCTGTCTCTGCCTGCCTGTCCATTGCCTCAGGGAGGTTAGGCCACATCGTCATATGGGCCATTCCTGGGAATTCTTTCCTGGTAGGTTTGTTGATCTGCCATCTCCAGCTGGTGATAGTGTACCTGAATGGGCTTTGCCATAAATGC